GACTCCGAGGTCTATTCGTATCCTCTTCAAAGATCCTTGTGTTAGACTAGCCGGAGAAATCTGCAAAGTTTTGTCCGAACTCTCCGAAAGCATTCGAAACAAACGTCAATGCTCGCCGGAGATTCTCTCCGATAAACTCGAAGTGGCGTTGAAAGATCTCAACACCGCAATAAAATCACAACCTAAGCTTTTCTTAGGCTCCAACCTTCACGGAGACATCACCAACAAGCACCTAAACGGTAACGTTTCGTATTACAACGATACTAACTCAAACGGTATCGTTTCGTATCACAACGACAACAATAATAACTTAAACGGCTGCGTTTTGGGTCAAACAACGCAACCAAACGACACCGTATCAAGATCTCGATCAAACGGTGTCGTTTCGCTCTCTAGCTTTGTATCAGAACGGAGACCGGTGAAGAAATCGACGGCGACCGGAGTTAAGAGGAGATTGAGGAAACAATTGAGCAAAATCGCGGTTATGAAAAGTTTGGAGTTTTCGGAAGCGTTACCGTTTGCTGCGTTTGCGTCTCTTCTTGTGGAAATGGTTGCGAGGCTTGATAATGTGATTGATGAGGTGGAGGAGCTGGGTACGATCGCCTGTTTCAAGGAGTATGGTAAGAATTTTGATCGGACGGATGTGGAAGTACGTATTGAGAAACCGGTTGATCTTGCGGTTGGGGATTGAAACCGATCGGTATGAAACGGTTTGGTTTGGTTCAGTATGGTTTTATATGTGATTCAATAAACGTTTTGTGATGATGGGAATCGTTTTCGTGTTGTAATTTCCCGAAATTTTGTGAATCGAGATTGGAGATGGTATTTTTTAAGTGGAGTTAATAAAAATTACAAATATATTATGTCTTGTGTAGATGTTTGTTATTTGGTCTGTAATAGGTAAAAAAGAGAAATTGTGAAGAAAAAAAAGAAAAAAAAACTTTAGGGCCCAACCGGGTTCGAACCGGTGACCTATTGATCTGCAGTCAATTGCTCTACCACTGAGCTATGAACCCAAGTTATTATATCTTCACTAAGTTTATTATTAATCCTTTTAATGTAGGAAAATCAAAATATATTGCATTACTGAAATAAGAAAAAGCAATTCATAAAACTCTTCTAACTAGTGAAAAAATGTAACTTTTTGTAGTTTTTTAAAATATTTTTAACTAAAAAATTTCTTATAATTTCATATCTATTCCTCTATCTTTACATAGATTCAATTATTTTTCATCCCACAATTGTTTTTTTTTTCTATACTAATTGAAAGTTATATAACTTATAAATGTGTTATAAATATATGGTCCCCCATAAAATCCTTTTTATATAAAGATTGTTTTCCACAGAATCATTGTTATCAACTTATCACTTCCATTATAAAAGTTTGTTTAAAAGGTTACATAGTGACGTCAAGAACAAATGTTCTTTTCATAGTGTGGTCCAGTTAGTCATTATAGTGGAAATGAGAGATCATAGTAGAGCATATAGTATTGAAAAATGACAATAATACATAATCATAATGGAGGTTTTTGATAATAATCCATAGAGAAAATAAAATATAGCTTCCAACTAGGTAATGACAAACAATTTTACATATATGTAAACCCATAAAATTAAAGTAACAAAACGGAGAAAACAAAAGCAGATCATAGTCTAGACTAATCCATATAGACCAATGCTAGAAGTTGGAAGACTCGAACGATAAAAGGCGTTTTTGTCTTAAAGAGTGCACTTCAACGATACTCGGGCCTAGAAGAAGTCTGAGTAACCAAATGAACCGGTTTGATCGTATCCGCAGTTTGTCCAATAACTGATTTGCATTGACTCATCCATATTCTGATCTACGTTGGTATACATGGTATTCTCCGTAAAATCCACGTTTTGATTACCAATGACCGGAAAATCAAAGTCTTGAAAGTACTCAGATGCAACATCTTGGATTTGAGGATAGTCCTACAAAAGAAAATTCAAAGCGGTATTCAATAAACAAAAGCCCGGTTTGGGTTTATTTATTCGTCAAATTTAAAATTTTGTATACGTACTTTTGAAGAATCAAGGATAAAATCAGGAGAAATCCAAATGTTGGAAGAGTCGGGTTGCGAAGAAACCGGATTGACAAAGGAGTGAATCGGCATTGTTTCATCGCGACTAGGAGAAGTCACACGGCTCGAATAACCTGAACTTTCTCCGGATACAAATGTTTGTTCGCTTGGAAATTTCCGGATTTTTGAATTAGTCTTGATCTCATTCTTCTTAGCCACACGACATAACACATAAGCTCCCTATAATTAAACACATTTTGTTCTTAATGTCTTTCATGAAAGAAAAGAAAAAGTTTTTTAGAATTGGATCAATGTTAACTTCTTAGTTCTTACCTTGAAATTTTGTGATCCTTGAGATGAATCATCATCGCATAGTCGATATTCATGCATGATCCAACTAGTTCTATCACCTAACGGTGCACGACCGTTATAGAAAACTAGAGTTTTTCTGTAGCCAATTATAGAAGATGAACGACTAGTGATTTTTCGATCTTTTCCGGTTGCTTTCCAATAACCGGCCTTTGTTCCTCGGTTTGTACGAAAACCATTAGGATATTTTTTGTCTCTTGAACAGAAAAAGAACCATTCCATGTCCCGGCTTGGAAGAAAAGACTTTTCTAAATGAAACAAATACAGATTTTTGCTTTTAGAGAAAAATTCATAAATTCAAAAAAAGTAACGAAAAGTAGTTTTGGAATTAAGTTAATTACCTGGTAACTCCCAAGGATCAAATTTATAAAGATCAATAACGGGAATGACTTCGAGCTCGATCTCGAGACCTTCGACTTTTCGTTTCAAGTAATAGTCGATGAGTTCTTCATCGGTAGGATGAAATCGGAATCCTGGAGGTAAACATGAACTTCCCATTTGCAATAAACTTACACTAAGAGACTTAACACACAAGAAAGGGTTAAAATCTTGAAAGTAATATTAATTTAAGTGACGAAGATAAAACGGTTAATTATTTGGAAAATCCAGAAATAGAAACTTTTCTCGACGCTTGATTTGTTGTTAAGAAAAGATTGCAACTGAAGATGATAGCATTCTTTGTGTGACAAGAACATTGTCTGAAAGAAACAGATTGTTTTCTATGACCAAAATTTACCAAGCCTTAAAAGTTAGAGAGAGGAATTTCAAAAGGAAAAAAATAATGGTGTGAAAGCTTGAAAAGTGATTAGCGAAAGATTAAGAGAGTGATGGTGGCAATTAGAAGGAATTGGTAGAGTGTTGAATGGTTGTGGAGTGCTGAATATTTATAGCACAAGGTTGGTAGAACATTCATTAATAAAAAAAAATGTTATTTGGAATCCTATAAAGCTTATTAGAATGTGGCTTTGATTCTTTACAAACTATGGGAGACCGATAAAGTAAATTAAGACATAACTTGTCTGAAGTGTTCTATAAAAAAAAATTCCAAAGAAAATGGACCCACCTAGGCTCAAAAGGTTATGAACTTGTTCACACTTAATTAGGCTCAAGCAATTAACAAACTCATTCATTTTTTTATTGTTGTGTGTGTGTGTTATAATATAATCAGGGAATCCGAAATAAATTCATACTAATCTCGAAGACCTACTGGCTGTTTGAAAAGTTTAATCATTTAAAACATCTACAATTATTAATCATAATTGAAATCACAATATAAAATCTTTGATTCCCATCCTCCAACATGAAAGTGAATCCTTCAAAACACTGAACT